AGAGCCGGGGCGGGGCCGGCGGGGAAGGGAGGGGCGGGCCCGGAGGGGCGGGGCAGGGCCGGCGGGGAGGGGCGGGGGATGGCAAGGAGAACGGATGCCCGTCACCCCGGGGCGTACCCCAGCTTTAAGGGCCTCCAGGTGAGGAGCAGGGTCTGGGAGACTCGGTGGCGTAGGTTCCTAGGCGGTCCAGGTCAGTCCCTCGCTTAGCCAGAAGGATGGGGACACACACACACACGGAAAATGAGAACCATGTGAGGAGATGCACAGGTGAATTAGCTTGATCGTGGTGATTATTTCACAGTGTATACCTATATCAAAACATCAGGTCGTACACCTTAAATATATACAATTTTTGTCAATTATACCTCAATAAAGATAAGAAGGGAAAAAAGATCTGAGAGAACCCAGAGAATGTTAAGTCCTTGATTGTAATACTGTTTTATCTGCTGTCCTCCATGTCCTCATCTGAAGTGGGTGTTGACACTTCTGTTTCCAATGATGATGGAATAACAGGGACTAGATATATCTTCTTGTCTTAAACAACTAGAAAACTGGGCTAAATATAGGAAACAATAATTTACAGATATAGGACAAGAGGTAACATAGGATAGTGGTCCAAAGTGAGCCCTTCAAGCTTCCCAGCTGTCTGCCTAAAAAGAGTTTCCAGGCCACAGGGCAGGGAGAGGGAACCCAAATAGAGGCCAGCCACCTTCCTGAACAAGGAGACAGAATTTCCAGTTCACGAATGTGAAGGGGGCTAAAGAGGAAGGAGCTATACAAAGAGAGCTTTGGAGATCAGCAGAGAGTGCCCTTGATTTGAAGGCTGAGTACTGATCTATAGTACTATAAAGTACGTACAATGGTACTCAGTAGGGAGGAGACAATTCAGGGTCGAGGAAACACCCACCAGAAAGGAATAAGCAGAAAAATCCCTTGAGCTCATATGGGACCGGGAATTGTTGTGTTCCCACCAGCCAGAATAGAAAGACCTTATAAGAGAGGGCACTGTGTAGGGTCCTCAGAAGGATATTGCCTTAATAGTGGGGTCACATCAACCCCAGTGGCTACTCTGGGTCTGCTGTAACAATGCTTATCAGCAAGTCTCAGAAGGATCGAATCAATTCTAAGTAACTCATCTGTGCCCCAGAACAAAAACCCCCAAATATTTAAAGGAATACAACAAAGTCTAGCACCTAAAAAAGTATAACCCTGAATGTCTAGAGCCAACCAAAAATTATCATGCATGCAAACAACCAGGAGAGAAATCAATCAAAAGAAAGACCCAGAAACCCCAGATGACAGAATTAATAGAAAAGGATGTTAAAAGTTATCATAAAAGTACTCAATATGCTTATGAAGGTTGAGGAAAAAATAAACATGATGAGGAGGAAAAGATATATAAAAGATCTATATCAAACTTCTGGAGACGAAAAACATAATATCTGAAATTTAAAAACATACCAAATGGGATTAACAGATGCTGCAGAGGAAAAGATTAATGGGTTTGAAGACATGGCAGTAGACATTCTCCAAAATGAAACACAAAGAGAAAAAAAAGACTGGAAAACACAATAAACAGAGCATTTCTGGGCTGTGGGGCACTATCTAGTGACCTAACGTGTACGTAACTGGTCTCAGAAGTGGGGGCATTGGGAGGTGGAAAGAAAAACATTCGAAGAAATAATGGTCAACATTTTTCCAAATTTCATGAAAACTATAAATTTAGCAATCCAAGAAGTTCAATGAACTTCAAGCAGAAGAAATATTAACTACAGCAAAACACGTCCTATTTGAAATACTAGAAACCTGTGATGAATAGAAATCCTCAAGCAGGTGCTAAGGAGTGTGCCTTCTGGAGGACTATTTGACTTTCGCACCCTGATGTCTGCAAGTTTGGGAGCACAAGATTTGTTTTAACAAACACTTTTTTTTTTTTTCAGCCAGGCTCCCTGTGGTTTCTTCAGGAATACTCTCACTTTAAAAACATACAAGGCATTTATTTACTCTGTTTGCTTCTATCCAGTCCATGTCTCAGGAGCCATACACAGAGGTCTTTTCTAGATGGAGTCCTTAACCTGTTTCATGACAGGCTTCCTTGCCCCTAAGCTCCTCTTTCCCAATTTAGTGGCACCTGCCTTGAAACCGCCTGAAACAACTGGGCAAGATTGGAATGAGATCTTTGTTGGCCTGAGATGTCTTAATGAGAGGCTGCTGAGACAAGGCCAACAAGTCTTGTCCCTTGCTATTTATGCTATTGAAGCAGTTGGCTTTTCAATATCTACAGGGTCCCAAATTCTGGACTCTTCATTCCCTTCTTTTTCTTCAAAACCCATAGAGTCTAACCTGAGCTCCTTTCTTCCTAGTAATACCTAGCTAAAAACAGCAAGAGGCAGCCACCTCATACCTTCTGGCTCATTCCAACCAGCTACTCTAGAAGTACCGGCACAATGGGAACTGTATCTGCCTTTCAAGTTACCACAGAAACCATTCCACCAACGTTTTGCCAAAGCACTAGCTTTTCAGCTGGTGATATCAGTTACTAACCTTCTGCTATGCATCTACTAAGCCAATGCCTGTGTTTTAGGTGTTATTTTATTTTATTTAAGATTTATTTACTTTAGGGGCACCTGGGTGGCCCGTCGGTTAAGCGTCTTGCCTTCAGCTCAGGTCATGGTCCCGGGGTCCTCGGATCGAGCTCTGCATCGGGCTCCCTGCTCCGCGGGAAGCCTGCTTCTCCCTCTCCCTCTGCTGCTCCCCCTACTTGTGCCCTCTCTCTCTCTGACAAATAAACAAATAAAAACTTTTTAAAAAAAGATTTATTTATTTTAGAAAGAGAGAGCATGAGAGCACGGGCAGGTGGGGGGGAAGAGGGAGAGGGAGAATCCTCGAGCAGACTCTCTGCTGAGCGTCCCGAAGCGGGGCTTGATCCCAGTGATGTGGGAAACAAAGGCAGAAGAAAAATTATAAAATTTCCTTACTACCAGGGCACCTGGGTGGCTCAGTCGTTAAGCATCTGCCTTCGGCTCAGGTCATGATCCCAGGGTCCTGGGATCGAGCCCCGCATCGGGCTCCTTGCTTGGCAGGAAGCCTGCTTCTCCAGCTCCCACTCCCCCTGCTTGTGTTCCCTCTCTCGCTGTCTCTCTCTCTCTGTCAAATAAATAAATAAAATCTTTAAAAAAAATAAAAACTAAATTTCCTTACTACCTACAACCCATTGACAAGTCCTTGAAACAGGCAGAGTGCATTCCTCTAGGGACTCAACTGCCTCGATGTTGACACTTGGCTAAGGGCAAAAGGCAATCATAGCCTGAACACCCCCCTTCCCTGCCCCAGGATCCTGTAAGTCTACTTTAACATAAAAAAATTCCTTTGTAAATTTCCTTTATCTCTACCCCCCAAGATAAGTGTTGGCAATCATCCCCCAAGCATATGGTCCACCAATATACATCTGAAGGTTTGTGACGAAGGTTTTATTAGATGGTAATAAACGCCCTTTTCCCAACAATAGCTAGCCCTCTCAAGGTCCTGGAAACCTTGCTTCCAAAATTCCTTAGAGACTTATGCTCTCCCTAACCCCTTCCCAACTTGGAAGTATATAATATGCCGCTTCTCATGACCCCATTGCTGCTCTTTCAGGCCACGGGTCCTGTCCCTGTGCTTTAATAGAATCACCTTTTTGCACCAAAGACATCTCAAGAATTCTTTCTTGGCTGTCAGCTTCAAACCCTAACCTTCTTTCCTACATCACCAGGACCCTGAGATCATGACCTGAGCTGAAACCAAGAGCTGGCTGCTTAACTGACTAAGCCACCCAGACACCCCTTAGGTGTTTTTTATTTTTTTTTATTTAGAGATTTTATTTATTTATTTGAGAGAGAGAGAGCATGAGAGAGAGATCACAAGGTGTTTATTTTAAATAGCATTCCGCTTCAGGGTACCAATTTCTGTATGAGTCAGGGTATGTTAAACTAGTTTATTAAACAAATCTAAAATGCAATAACTTGAAAACAGTAGAAATTTATTTACAACTTACCTAACAGTCCAGGGGCATCTAGGTGAGAATGTTCAAGATCTGTGGAGCCAGAGTGGGGAGGAGGGAGCTCAGCTGCACAGAGTTACTGAAGGAACCAGGATGCCAGCATCAATATGTGGTTTCCAAGGATGTTCTCAGTGTCACCCTGCCGGTCATCCAGAAAAGAAAAAGAGCAAGAAGGTGTAATGGGTCAGTCACGGAAGCGGCTCATATCACTTCGCTTCCCCACCCGATGGGGAGAAATTCGTTGCATGGCTATACCGAAGTGTCACTCATAGTTAGTTAACTAGTTAGTTAGCCAAGTATGCATTTGGGAACACAGCTAGCCAGCTCCACCACAGATGTTCTGTTACGGTTTCCCGGAGAAACAGAATCAATAGGATGTATTATATAGACAGAATGAGAAAGACAGAGAGAGGTTTTAAGGAATTGGCTTACACAGTGCTGGGGGCTGGCAAGTCTGAAGTCCCCAGGTCAGGCTGTCAGCCTGGACTTTCAAGTAAGAATTGATGTGCAGTCCTGAATCCAAACTCTGCAGGACAGTAAGCTGGAAACTTGGACAGAGTTCCGATGTTGTGCTCATGAGGAAAATTCTTTCTTAAAATT